GTTCATTTTTGTATTTTTAGCAGAGACAGGGTTTCACTATGTTGGCCAGGTTGGTCTCAATCTCCTGACCTCATGATCCACCTGCCTTGGCCTCCCAAAGTGCTGGAATTACAGGCATGAGCCAGTGTGCCTGGCCTATAATTGCCATTTTTTATGTAACTCTTTTCCTGCATTTTACTACAAGCTGTCAGGAGAAGCCATGCCACACCCTCAATGCTCTGCTTAGATGTATCTTCCACCAAACATCTTATTTCATCACTCAGAAGTTCTACCTTCCACAAAGCACAAGGACACAGACACAATTCAGCCAAGTTCTTTGCCACTTTATAATGAGGCTGTCCTTTCCTACAGTTCAATAATGTTTCTCATTTTCATCTGAGATCTCATCAGAATGACCTACACCCTCTACATTTCTACCAATGCTCTGATCATTGCAATCTTCTTCTGAGCCTGTAGCAGAATCACCCTCAATGTTACATTCATGGAAACGCGGAGTTTTTTCTAGCACTCACGTACAAACTCTTCCAGCCTCTGATATTATCCAGTTCCAAAGCCATCTCCACATGTTTAGGTCTTTCTAATTATAATGCCTCTACTTCTCGGTACAAATTAGTCTTTTAGCCCATTTGAGCTGCTATAACAAAATCTATAAGGGTAAGTTATGATCAACATAAATTTATTACTCACAGTACTGGAGGATAGGAAAACCAACATTAAGGCTGGGCACAGTGGCTCATGCCACCATAATCTCGGCACTTTGGGATTGCTTGAGAACAAGAGTTTGAAACCAGTCTGCGCAACATGGCAAAATCCCATCTTTACTAGGAAAAAAAAAAATTAGCCAGGCATGGTGGCACATGCCTGTAATCCCAGCTACTTGAGAGGCTGAGGCAGGAGAATCCCTTGAGCTCAGGAGGCGGAGGTTGCAGTGAGCCAAGATTGCACCACTGCACTCCAGCCTGGGTGACAAAGCAAGACTCTCTCTCAAGAAAAAAGAAAAGAAAGAAGAAAGAAGAGAGAAGGAAGGAAGGAAGGAAGGAAGGAAGGAAGGA